CACTTTCCTGCACCTGTTGAGAAATGGCAAGACTTATTTGCATCCAACTACAACACTATCATAGGTCCTAAATTACCACATTTCTCAGCTTCTTGCAATGATTTACCCTGTGACTTGTCTTCTGATTATTTAGACAATAATTATAATGTATGGCAATAATGTATTATGGGCTATGTTGCTGGCAAGTCGCCTGGATTTAAGGCTTTGAATAATATTATCTCCAGTTCATGGAAGTGTGAAGGCTCTTTGGCTATTCATGAATCTGGCTGGTTAGTTTATAGATTAAAAAACATTGATGATAAACTTGCAGTTCTTGCTAATGGTCCCTACTTGATATATGGCTGGCCCCTAATTCTCAAAGCTATGCCAAAGTACTTTGATTTTAGGACTGATGAGATGTCATGTGCTCCTGTATGGGTGAAATTTCCAAACTTGTCGTTAAAATGTTGGTCTCCTCGATGCCTTGCTAAGATTGCTAGCAAATTAGGCACGCCTATACAAAGTAACCAACTCACCTTTAACATGTCGAGAATTTCCTATGCTAGAGTCCTTGTAGAATTGGATCTGCTTGCTAATCTCAAATCTTCAATTGTCATCAACTTACCAAATGGCGCCACTCTGAACCAACCGGTGATATATGAGACACTTCCTAGATTCTGCAAATTGTGTAAAGTCCTGGGCACAAAACGGGAGCTTGCACCTCTCCTCCTGACCCAACTGTGGTAAGACCTTTGGGCAAGAAAAGCCATCCATCTTCCACTACAAATAAGGGCCGTAGTGTTTTTGATCGCCTAGGGCATGTTGTAGAGCCTAGCCTGGGAAAAGCTAAAGGGCAGATTGGTGAGTCTTCATAAAGTTATGATCCCATGGCTACCGAAGTTGCAGTTGCATCTGGTGAATGGGAAATTGTCAAAAGCAAGAAAGCAAGGAAATCTCCTAGCATACTTGTGGGAGCCACAAAACACAGCTGGTCAGGTTTCAACCATCCACCCTAGAGGTAAAGCCCTTACTGTCTCATCTTCAGGAGGTATTTGCACCTCTGATTGTAACCCCCCCATCATCATTTATGGGAAAGAACCAACTGGAGCAGTTCCATGCAGGAAAGATCCTAATGTAATTTCTGTTGGTGTAGCCACTAAACATGGTCAGAGAAGGAGTTCATCTCAAGCATCTAGGAGTGGTTGTGGTGGAAGGGATTTCCCTTCACCTGCAATAAAATGATCATCTACAACTGGAATATCATGAGACTCAACAATCCCCTGAAGCAACATGAAGTAGTCAGCCTCATGAAGAAGCATAAGAAACAAAATTGCTCCCATCCAGAGTGGCCTCTTTGCATAAATTTCGGCTAAGGCATTGGCAGTACTTCAATGCAGATGCTGCACACACTGCTAGAATTGTGGTTTTTTGGAATCCATCTACAGTAAAGGTTGATTTGCTTCCATCCTCTACGCAAGCTTTAGATCTTTCAGTCACATGTTTGATTTCTCAGATTAGCTTTATGGCTACTTTTGTTTATGGCTTCAATACTATCCCTACAAGACGATCTCTATGGGTGGATTTAAGGCGCTGGAATTCTAACTGTCCCTGGATGGTTCTTGGTGACTTTAACTCCATGCTTTCCTCAGTAGATAAACACAATGGTGCGACTGTCTCTTCTTATGAAATTTCTGATTTTCGAGATTGTTGTTTTAATCTGGGCCTTCATGATGTCAATTTCACTAGATGCCACTTCAGCTGGACAAACGGCTTTGTTTGGAGTAAACTTGATAGGGTGTTAATCAATCCCTCATGGTCTTCTTTACAACACCTAATTCATGTACACTTTGACCCTCCAGGTGCCTTAACTGATCATTCCCCTGCAACAGTTATTCTAGATCCATATGTGTACGGTAGATGAAATTTTAAATTCTTTAATATGTGGGCTTCACATGATCAGTTCCTGGAGGTGGTCTCTTCTTGTTGGTCCTCTCCTATTTATGGTACTCCCATGTATATTCTTTATTGTCATCTTAAACTTTTGAAGGGACCTTTGAAAGAGCTCAATCGTCTTCATTTTAGTCATATTTCAGAACAAGTCTCTCGGCTTGAGTCTTAGTTGGAGCAACTTCAAACTACATTCCAACAAGACAGGGATAATCAACTTTTGCTTGAGCAGGACAGGATTCTATGTTCCAAACTATCTTCTCTGAAGTTTGCGGAAAAACAGTTCTTCAATCAAAAAATCAAATGCAAGTTTCTCAAGGACAATGACAGAGGCTCTAAGTTTGTCCATGCTCTCATAGGGCAGAACCAAAGGATGAACTTCATCCCAGCTATTATGTGCAGGAACGGCAGACTTAGCACTTCCCTCAAGGAAATGGGTGATGAATTTGTGGCATATTATCAGCAGCTGCTTGGAACTTCAAAGTTCACTGTTCCTCTTGACAGTACAGTTATTCGGTGTGGACCATGTCTTCCATCTAGCTCTCACAACTTTCTCCTCTCCCCAGTTTCTCCATAAGATATTCGTCAGGCAGTCTTTAGCTTTGAGAATAAGAAGGCTCCAAGACCTGACGACTACTCCTCCTTCTTCTTCAAGCAAGCCTAGTCTATTGTGGGAGGGGATTTCTGTGTGGCCATTCAAGACTTTTTTCATTCTAGCAAGCTCCTTAAACAGGTTAGCCACTCAATAATTACCTTGGTTCCCAAATCAGAGAATGTCTCTTCTCCATCTAATTTCAGGCTTATTTCCTGCTGTAATGTTATTTACAAAGTGCTAGCCAAGATCTTAGCTGGCCGACTTTCCCAAGATTTACAGGGCATAGTCAGCCCCATGCAGAATGCATTTTTAGGTGGCAGGTATATGAGTGACAACATTAACCTTGTTCAAGAGCTTCTTCGCCAGTATGGTAGGAAGCGATCGTGTCCTTGATGCTTGCTGAAAGTTGATTTCAAAAAAACATTTGATTCAGTCTAATGGGGATTCCTAGAATGCCTTCTTTGCCAACTTGGCTTTCCTGCTAAATTTTTCATGCTTGTTATGCAGTGCGTTTCCTCTGCTTCCTACTCTATAGCAGTTAATGGTGATATCTATGGGTTTTTTTTCCGGGAAACAGTGGAGTTGGACAAGGAGACCCCTTATCCTCGTATCTCTTTACATGCTGTATGGAATACTTCTCAAGAATGTTCACGCTTGCTTCCTAGCAAGAGGGCTTTCGATTTCATCCAAAGTGTGTAGTGCAGGGTATTACTCACCTTGCTTTTGCAGATGATGTTCTACTTCTCTCTCGGGGAGATTCCTCTTCAGTCCTTTGTATTCTCCAACAGCTTGCTCGATTTGGCCATACTTCGGGTTTGGACATTAATCCGCATAAATCATTCATTTTCTTTGGGGGAGTAGGCTCTGTTCAAAAGCAATCTATCGTCACAACTTCTGGCTTCATAAAAGGGCAATTTCCTTTCACTTACCTTGGGGTCCCACTAAGTCCTCATTGGCATTTAGCAAGCCAGTTCTCCCCTCTTCTACAGGACTTGCAATCGTCTGTCCAAGGATGGATTGGCAAACATCTTTCGTATGAAGGGCGTTTGGAGCTCCTCCGATCTGTTCTATTTGGGAAAGTCCAATTTTGGTTAAATATTTTCCCTATCCCTGCTATAGTTATGAGGAACATTATTAGCATCTGCAGAAACTTTCTATGGACTGGTGATGCCCATAGAGGTTCCTCAGCTCTAGTAACATGGAAGACAGTTTGCATGCCTAAGGCAGAAGGTGGCCTGGGTTTATTTGATCTATGTGCTCGTAACAGAAGCTTTCTTGCCAATCAACTATGGCATATACATCTTAAAACAGACTCAGTTTAGATCTGCTGGATTCACCATTTTTATTTGAGCAATGGCACCATCTGGAAAATTCAAGCACATCATACCTCTTCCCTGTTCTGGAAAGCAATAATTTATGTTAGGGACCTCATCTTCCAACACTGTGGGGACTCAAAGGTGGAGAGTATCTATTTGATGAGTAGCTGGTCTAATTCGGCAGGTCCCTTTCTAGCCCATGCATATGATTTCTTCAGACCGGTTGGTTCTGCAGTCTCTTGGAGTCGAGTTGTCTAGGAACAATGGTCTTTGCCTAAATACATCTTCATACTATGGCTGGTTGTCATGGGTAAATTAAGAACTCATGACAGGTTGCCATTCATCCGTACTGACCCCACTTGTGCTTTCTGTTGGTGTGAGGAAGAGAGCCATGACCATTTTCTTTTCACTTGTAGCTGGACAGTTTGCTTATGGGATAAGATAAAATCTTGGCTTAGAATTGGAAGGAGAATGTCTACCTTAAATAGTGCACTTCGTGGGTTACACTCCAAGAGGTCTAACATGGAGTTTTGGATGAGAAGAGTCTCCTTGGCCATCACTGTATATCTAATCTGGGAAGAAAGAAATAAACGGGTTTTTGATGCTAAGGATAGAGGAGTTGATGCCGTCTTCAGGAGATTCCAAATCTTGTTTTATATTGTGCTTCATTTTCATGAAAAAGACAACCATCAAGTGGTCGTTGGGTGATCATCTTGATTGGATG